GTAATCATCTCGCCTGGTCCCCTGCACAGCACAGGCCAGAGCCCTGCCCCAGACAATTCATAGCGCAGATCTGCTAGCAAACCAGCCCGGCCGGATTGAAAAACAAAACCTACCACCTGGTACCTGCAGCCATACGGCTCTAAGGGGACGTCAGCCAAGACTCGAACCCTGCCCCGTCAGACCCCCAGCACCCAGCCCCATTGCATCGAGCCACAGCAGGCTTCACACCCCATCAGCTCTAGTGCATCAGGCTGGTGTCCCCCATTTCAGTCACGGCTACGCTCCACGAGCTGGGGGTCACACCCTGCCGGTTTGATGGCTGAGAACGTGTCAATAAGCTTGGGCTGGACCCTGGACCCTGAATGGGCCTCGGGGAGTGAGGGTGGGACCCTGGACCGCGTGTCAGTGGGAAGTGAAGGGCTGGCCGTGAACCCCCCCAGGAGCGAGGCTTTGCCGCGACAGGGATCAGAGCCCCCCCAGGGAGCCCAGGCCCAGCCTTCTCTGCACTGGGGCCGTGAGTTCCTGTCTAAGGCTACTGCCCACGTTAATGCAGGCTCCACATTCTCTCTCCAAAGGCATCGGCAGGAGAGCGCCTTCTCCCCCCCGCACACCTACGGGTACATCTGCGGCCCGCTGCGCTCCGAGCTGGGGGCGGGGCCTGCCCCCGAAGAGGACGACGACCCCGACGCGGAGGGGGGCGGCTGTCAGTCCATGCCCTTCTTGCGCCGGTACTGCCGGACGCCCTCGTCCAGCCACAGTGAGGCGGAGGGCTCGCTGGGTGGCTCCCTGCTCAACGGCTGGGGCTCGGTCTCCGAGGAGAACTTCACCAGCACACGCTGCAGCCTGGTCAGCTCCTCCGATGGCTCCTTCCTCGTGGACGCCAACTTCGCGCAGGCCCTGGCCGTGGCCGTGGACAGCTTCTGCTTTGGGCTGAGCCCGAGCGAGGCCGAGCAGGCCTACCCAGGTACATGGATCCCTCCCGTGCCTGTGCCGAGAGCCCGGGGGATAGGTGCTCAAAGCGCTTGCACTAGGCCCTGCTTTCTGCCAGGTCTTGGGGGCAGTTGGAGGGAGGCCGGGGCAGATGGGGGCAGGTTAGTTTTCTGTTTCTCTTAGGACCGAGAATACCAATTAACTAAGAGCTCAGTTGCCAAACCTCTTTGGCCTGCCCTGGAGAGGGGGCTGCAGATGTTAATTAATGGGGGCTCTGAAGAACCACTGCACCTAACCCCTGGGAAAGTCACTGGAGGGAGGGTGACCTGGCCGGGCTCATGGCTTCAGGGCCAAGGCGTCCCCCCAGCACCAGGCTCTGTGCCGGCCGGCAGAGTAGAGCAAGGTCTGGCATGAAATCTGTACCCTGGAGCTGACAGCGCTAGTCAGGGCGGGCCTGTGCTCCCGCCCCCGCGGCCCCTGCCTGCACGTTGGGGCCTCGTGCACACGGATCCAGCAGTGTGTGCCGGCGCCCAGCCTCGGGGCACACTCGGCGCAGCCGCTCCTGTGTGAGGAGAGGCTGCATTTAGAGAGGACATTGGGGCCTGATTTTACACCCCCAGGCTGGCCAGGGTAGGTTGGGCTGGTCTGGTCTAGGATTCGCTCTCCCACGGGCAGGGCAGACGCCCGCGTGGCTATTGCACTTGTCTGGCTCTATGCTGCAAACCAGCGTCCTGGTAGCTGCAGCCTGGGTAGCACCGTGGGGATCCCTGCTTGCCCCCACGCTTGGGGCACTGCCCTAGGGAGCTGGGCGGGGGGGTTGCTCAGACACACTCTCCCCCCCAGATCTCTCTCCCTGAGGCGGGAGACGTCTCATCCAGATGTGGAAAGAGCAGTTTGTGTTGCAGCGGCAGAAGCAGGGACCTGCACAGAGTATGGGCAACAGGGGGAGGTGCAGGGCGGAGGTGCACCCCCAGGGAGAGCGTCCAGAGGCCTTGCACTCAGGGGTCCCCATGCCTCCTGGGGGTCGGTATGCGGTGTGCAGCCTTCCTTCTCCAGGGGGCGGGCTGATGGTCCCTGGAGTCCGGGGCCCGGCGGGGAGGTGTTCGCCCAGGTTAGCAGGTTAGGGTCTGGGCGGGCGCCAGGGGGACGTCGGTTCTCAGGGGTTGGGAATTCTGGTTGCGATGCCCCAGGTGGCGTTGACTCACCTCCCAGAGGCACAGGCAGGACATGCCCCCAGCTCTGCCCAGCCAGCCAAAGAGCTGCTCATGTAGTAACCTACTGCTAGTGTAACCCACACAGCGTCTGGGGGCGGCGTTCTGTCCCATCTAGTGGCTCCGAGACCACTTGGAGATTAATGAGTCTGTTCTACAGCGTTAGCTCACAGCCAGTGGCTTTTAGCTCATGCGGTCGAGGCTCATGCACTAAGCTCCAGAGGTCCCCAGTTCGATCCTGCCCGCTGACATCCAGGGAATGTCGGCGTTACACTAGCAGAACCCAACTGTGCCCATGCGCTGCCCGCCGTCCCCACAGAGGGGCCCTGGCCGGGGGGGTCAGGCCAGAGCGTGCCCCACTCTCTGCACACTGCAGCCTCAGGCGTCTGCGTGTACTGCATTGTGCCTGCTGCTCAGGGTCCGGGCTTCAGTAAATCCGCCGTCACTCCAGGTCCCCTAGAGCTACCGTTAACCCGAAACGACAGCACTGGGAGCAGAGGAGATAGCAAAAGGAAACGAGACGCGCGGTCTTGGTGCATCCTGCCCCGAATCGCTGACGAGCCGGCTAGAGAGCCAGATGGGCCTGTGTCCCCCCCTTAGCTCTTTGGGGAGCCACATGATTCTGTTAGTTACTGGGCCCAGAACTGCTCCCAGCTATTTCCAGCCCCTCACCAAGGGCAAGGGGCTCTCGGATACCCACCTGCCCCTGTGACAATGCCGCCCATGGGAGCCAGCTGAGGTCACTCAGTTAGAACTGCAGACAAACCCCAGAAGCTGGTGGATATTCCAATACTTAGATTTACCAAGCCAACCCAGCACAAAACAGCTTCTATAGTACCTCACTGGTTACTCAGAAGTCCAAATAATGCAGTTCCCTTAAAGTACCCAGCCTCAGGCCTCCGTCCAGACACACATGTGAAACATATGATGATGATTACTGAAAATCTTATCTCATCATATAAAGAAAAGGTTCTTCCAATCCCAAAGGATCAGCCACACACCACACACCCAGGTCCAATTATAACTTAGATCTTCCCGAAAATACACACTTATAGCCAATTCTTGTTAACTAAACTACAATTTGTTAAAAAAGAAAAGAGAGAGAGAGTGTTGGTTAAAAGATCAATATACAGACAGACTTGAATTCAATTCTTGAAGTTCAGATACTTAGCAGAGATGAGCTTGTAGTTGCCAAAAGTCCTTTTAGATATAGTCCATAGGTTATAGTCCAATGTTCAGGGTGACTCCAGTTGGTGGCTGGGAATCTCAATCCTTATGGCTTAAGGTTTCCCCCTCTTGAAACCCAAAGCAGATCTGAGATGAAGAAGGATCGTGTCCCAGGGTTTTTATACATTTCCAGCAGCCTTTTGGCCTGAGAAAACAATAGGCTTAACTTTCCTTCTCCCAAACATCCTGGCAATTAGCACAGGGCAATTTATCCTTTGAACAGTTCAGATACAGGTTACCACAACCGTCAAAGAGACAGATAGACTAAAATGCTATTTCACTCAAGGGTCTTCCTAAATGTTAATATTCCTTTTTCGATCTTTGAATCAAAGCTGTAGCAATAGACAAGACTTGTTTGCTTACATCACAAGCCCTGAGCAAACCTCTACCCTTCTATCTCTAACCATGCAGACTTGCATTGCAAAGCTCTATTCATTTACGCATCTTCCTAACCAATCTCTAAAGTTCGGCCATGGGTCAGGTCAGTCTGTGAGTTAATTAACTTTTTCTGGCCCTGTCACCTTTCAATGAGATATTATAATATACTCATAACATCCCAGCCCCTCACCGAGGGTGGTGGGTTCTCAGGGATACACCTGCCCCTCACTGAGGGTGGGGGGTTTTGGGGACCGATATACCACTCACTGAGGGCGGGGAGCTCTCAGGGATACACCTGCCCCTCACTGAGGGCGGGGAGCTCTCGGGGACCCATGTGTCCCTCACTGAAGGTGGGGGCTCTCAGGGGCCCATGTGCTCCTCACCGAGGGCAGGGGGCTTTCAGGGACCCACATGCCCCTCACCGAGGCCCTGGAGCTATGCAGGATATTTGATGCGCTGAGCTCAGCCGTACCCTATGGCACCCACGTTTACACAACTCACACCTCGTCCACGGGCAACTGTGCTCCAGGAGCTGCCTTTCCTGCCAGGCCTAGTGGGAACCAGCTGGGTTAGCGCCTCTCCGGGCTGCTTGTACCTTGTCCAGCTGAAACAGCTTCACTGGCCCAAGGCGCAGCTCCTCCTCCCGCCAGCGCCCGCCGCAGTGCCAGCCCTGTGCGTCACTCCCAGCCTAGCTCCAGCTGCCGCTCCGCAGTGTGCCTGGCACGCACCTACACTGTGCCTGTGAGGGGAAGGGCCACAGCTGGTCCCAGGGTGAAGCTGGATGGGAGCCAGGGGGCGGGAGGTTGCTGCAGACCAGGGGCCCTGCAGGAAGCTGCAAAGGGAGCAGGCTCTGAGGAGGGCCCCTCTGTGTCTGCAGAGGGGCCTGACTGCCTGAGGTGCCAGCTGGCAGTGCCAGCGCCATGGATGGGACACCAGCCCTGTGCGATGCCAGCGAAGTGGCAGTGTTGTCAGCCCCTAGCACCACTTCTCAACTAGCAGAGCAAGGCCACCTGTCCTGGGCTGGGGGCAGCCACGTGAGCATCGAGGTCAGGCCTGTCCCCATGCAGTGGCCGGGCTTCAGGGTCACGCCCGTCCCTGCTCTGAGACGCACATGCCCTGGCAGCCCATGGAGTGGGCTCCGAGCTCTGCTCCACTTGCTGAACACTGGCATGGGAATGGCCTAGCCCTTTGGCCTGCGCTGCGTCAGCCACGCTGCCCTTCTGCTGCTCCTGCCACGCCAGCGTAACCCCTAGTGACGGTGGGGTGGGGCGCAGGCCCGCCCGGGGATCCCTGGGGTCACCGACTCTCGCCACTCCCTCCCTGAGCCTCGCAGCGTAACTCTTGGGTTGCTCTTTCCCACAGACTTCTCGCCGCCCGCTTCCCCGCTGGATGGGCTCCTTCCCCGTCCCGAGCGCTGGGAGGGCGTGGCGTGGGCTGGAGCGGAGCCCCTTCCCCTTCCCACCTGGGAGTGGAGCACCGGCTGGCTGGAGGACATGGAGGCCAAGTACTCCCAGAGGCCCGAGGGGACACCTGCTGCTGAGAAGCCGGAGGGGAAGGCAGCACTGAACGGGACCCGGCCCCTCGCTGGGCCAAACGGCAAGTGTTAGTGCCCGTGCTGCCTGGCACACGGTGACTGGGACGCTGCGGGCCGGCCTGCTCTGGCATCGCAGCACTGCATCCTCCCCAGCCAAGGGCACACTCGCCTCACCCGCCAGGCCTCTCCTGGGGGCCAACCACATGCACCATGGTCCCCAGGGTGCCCGAAGCCTGCTCAGGCACCGCACTCTCTGGGTAGCCCTGGACTCGCCCCCTCCTGGGCAGCACTAGGCCAGGAGATCAGGCAGAGCCGTTAGCGTCCCCGGGCCCTTCAGGGCACGTCTACACTTAGACCCTGCGGCTGCCTGGCCCTGCCAGCTGACTCGGGCTGCGGGGCTGTTTCATTGCGGTGTAGACGTTCAGGCGTGGGCTGCAGCCTGAGCTCTGGGCCCCTCCCTCCTGGCAGGGTCCCAGAGTCCTGGCTCCAGGCCTTGCTCCCACGCTGGGGCTGGAACAGAATCCTGTCCTCTGTGGAGTCCCTGTGACACACACCAGCGGGCACATGGTGCCTAGGTGAGGTGCCAGCCAGGCCAGACACAGGAGCACCCTCCACTCACCCCTAGAGCAGGGGCTGGGAACTGCCAAGGCTCCTAGGGAGCACCAAGAAAAAACCGCTGGGAGACTCCCCAGGAGGGGAGGCAGAACAATCAAAGGGAGAGTCCTGGAGCCCGCTCCTACCCAGCGGCTAGGAAAGGGAGGAGAGTTCCCCACCCAGCCCGTGACCGGGAGCAGGAAAAAGTCCCCAAACAGCCCCCTCTGGCGACTCCTTGGATAAGTGTCCCAGCCCCTTCCTGCTACCGAACACCCTCTGCCCCGTAGCGCTCCCAAGTGTGAGTGCCAACCTCAGGGCAGACTGATAAAAACCTGGGCACAAACCCCTGAACTTCGAACCAACCAACTGCCCCAAGTGCAAACTGCCCTGGCACTCTGACAGCCTGAACACGGCGCCCCGCCAGCCCCAGGGTACTCCGCTCCGGCTTGCCACCCACGGCAGCGTGTCTCCCTGACAGGTGACCCTTCTTAAGTTCAAGAATCACAGCAATAGTCAGGTACCCCTAGTCCCGAAGGACCAGTCACTTGCCCCAGGTCAATTGCATGTTAGGTCTCACCAAGGACAACGCTTGTGGCCAATCCTCTAATAAACTATATGAAGCTTTATTACCTAGGAGAAGAAAACTAGAGTTATTTCCAAGGTTAAAGCAAGCGAATAGAGACACACACCAATGAGGTACAGTCTTAGCTTTCAAAGGGTAACAGAGGTGTCTATAATCAGCAAGCTCTATTGTCCTTTAGGGCTAACCCAGGCTGAGCACTGGGGATCCCTTGCTTATGCCTAGGAAACTCCTTCCCGCCCCGCCCCAAGTCCAAGCAGCACAGATACCTAGTTCCTTTTGTCTGGGGGTTTTATCCCCCTCTGGCCATGTGCTCTCAGCTGCAAACTCAGCTGACGGAGGAGTCCACTTGCGTGACTCATCTTCACGGGGAGGAGAGCAGGACAGGAGAGCGTTTAGTTTCTCAATCCGGATGTAGGAGTTTCCAGTCGCAGGATCCCACCAGAGCCTGTCTGGTATCGCTGGGTCTCCTCCTTCAGGAGGGGGTGTAACAACTTCGGCAGAAGAGCAGCTCCTCACACTCATTAGTGGCGATTCATAGAGGCTCACCCTCCACCCACTCCAATGGTATGGAATACAGATCAATGCAGGCAGCATCTCCCAGGCTTTCACTAGAAGCCAACCACTAAACACGTCCTTATCATCCTCATACCTATTTGATCAGTATTAACCCCCACGTGAACTACAGCGATTCCAGTCCTGGGTCTGTCAGTGTCCAGTAGAGACATGGGGACCTTGGCATGAGCTGGCACCTGGCCTGCCAGCATCACTGCCCCCCCCCAACCTCTTTCTTCCAGGCGGTGCTCTCTGTAGATTACCAACAGTGCTGGCCATCATGGAGCAGCCTGCCCAGGTCCTGGGGTGAGCTCCAGCCTCCCCACAGCATGGCACTGTCCCCCCCTACCCGCAAGGCTATCACAGAACCAATTAAATGAACATGTGCCTTGACCAGCAGTTCGAGCCAGCGCTCCTGCCGCCCAGCAAGCAGGCTGCTGGCCTCCCTGTAGCTGCGGTGTGTGCTTCTGGAGTGCGGCATCGCTGCCTGGGTCCCACTGGGCATCTGCGAGCAGGGAGGGGCTCGGGGACCTGGGCCAGCACGTGCAGCCCTCGCTCCCCATTGATTGCCAATGCGCCGGCTGGCCGACGCAGACCTGTACAGCCTCGCACACCTCAGTGAGCAGGTGAGACGCTCGGCTAGAGACGGGTGCCGGCTGCAGGGCAGCCTGCTTCCCCCGCCGCAGCCACGCTGGAGCCTGGCCTCGCCTCGCTGCGGGAGGACAGTGAGGGCAGCTGCAGGGAAGAAGCCAGTCTCTTCCTCTTAGCGATTACTGGCGCCTTGTCCCTTCTCATGCCGGCCTGGCCTCAGGAGTGGCCACGCTGGATCAAACCAGTGAGCCAGCCAGGCCAGGCCTCCCCAGGCTGGGACACTGGCCTGTCCAGCTGATCTGGAGGCAGGTGCAAATTTTAGTGAACTTTGGAATAACCCGCGCAGCCTGGGCTGGGGGTGGGCGGGCACAAGAACTCTACCAGCTGGGCACATGGCGCTCTAGGGCCCGGTTCAAGCACAAACACACCCTGGGGCTCTGGACGCAGCTCCGCTCCACACAAAATAACCTGGATTTGCAAAGCCTCTGGTGGTCTCGTGCCAGCCCTGGAGCTCCACAGCCCAGCCCCCATGCACTGCCCCCAGCCAGGCTGCCGCTCCCCACAGCGGGCTCAGCCCGTCCGTCCCTGGGGCACTGCACTGTACTGCGCGCAGTGATTAGCTCCCAGCAGGCACTGATCTGGCTCTGAGTCCCAGGACACCCTGGCAGGTGACTGGTGACATGGGCACCGCTTGGGGTGAGGGTGAGGCAAGGCCGCTTTGGGCAGTGCTATGGGAGCTGGGGGTCAGGCTAGTAAGGGGCACTGGGAGAAAGGGAGCCAGGTTACATGAGTGTGATGTGGGAGCGATGCCTGAATCCACGGGGGCTGGACGGGGCAGAGGAGAAGGTTTGATCCAAGGTCAGGCGCTGGGCCAGATACATTTTGACCTGGACCCTCGACATGCTGATGTGTCCTGCGCTGAGACCTTCTGCTCCCGTGTAGGCCTCTCTCGGCTCCTGGCCATCATCCCTGAGCGGGGCGGGCTTGTTCTCCCGCTGCCCGGTGCAGGGTGCAGGAAGCGGGGACGTGACCTGTGGTGCAGTGAGGCTCTGCCCGAGCCGGAAGAGACACTAGGTCTCCTGGCCCACTGCCCTTGGCGTGTCGCTGAGTGCTCTGTGCAGGCAGTAGGCCAGACCCGGCCCTTCCAGCCCCTTAGCCTGCAGGTTTGCCTCTGGGCATGCCCCTGCCCTGTGCCAGTTGGAGACACCATGGCTCTGCGTGGCAAGTCCTGCCGTCGTGCCCGTCCCGCGAGGAAACAAGCTCGTTGGGCAGAGGCTCAGAGCGTCCCTTGTCATCAGCACCTGACTCCCAAATGGGCCAGTGGGTTTTTTCCTCTGAGCCTCTGGGCCTTCACTCGGGCTCACGGCCTGCAGGGGGAACACGGTACAAACGATCTCCTTGTGAACAAGGAAAATTCCCCGTGGACCCTCGGAAGGGATTGCTCTGCCCAGGGCTGGAGTCCCCATGCCAGACCTGGCCGGCCCATGGACGGCAGAGTCACGCTCTCAGCCTACTCGGCCGCTGCTGCTCGCTGTTAGTAAAAGGTGATTCCTTTCCAGGTGCCTGCATGGCGGAATCCAGCAGCCCCACTGCGGGGACGATGGGGGAGTGCCAGCCCCCCTGCCCTGCTGCCCACAGTCCCATGCCAAACAGCTCTGCCATTCCCAGGAGGGGCGAGAAGACCAGGGTCGTGCTGCAGCCGCTGGACGCGGGGGCGACAGGAGTCCAGGCGTAGAAAGCCGAGCACGTTCTGTGCCAGGCAGGCGCAACGTCTGTAATGCCCAAAGCCCAGAGAGACTCTCGGGGCACCGTGGGCCTGGGGGCGAGCGCTTGGCTACTACCGTGCCCACCCCCAGTGCCTGCTAGACACGTCTGGCCCCTGGTCATTGGCAACAGAATCCCTGAAGAAAGGCTTTTGACGCTTCCCCCAACGTGGGCTGCGATCCCATGGGGGAGGGATTCCCCAGGCTGCCCCACACGCTGAGGGGGAGCATTCAGCATGAGAGACGGGAAGGGCCAGGCAGGTGGGGCAGCGCAGAGACCCTGCCGAACTCTACACCAGCCGCGTGCAGGAGAGGAGCCCCACGCAACATGGCCTGGCCACGGGGCTTGGCGCAGGCGTCTCTAGCCAGCAAACATTGCCTCCTTTTCTCTTGAGTGCCCGGTCCCTGGCAGGACTCCACCCACTGCCCCACTCACAGGCTGGCGCTCCATGTGGGGCCCAAGCCCGGATTCCTGCTATTGGCTTCAGGGTCGATCTCTGCTCTGTGACGCTGTCTGGGGCACCCGCCATCGTGGGCTTTTCCCGGTTCATACGGGAAACCCTCGGGTTTGGAGGCCCCTGCAGCTGCTGTCAGTTGCCAGAAGCCTGCATTTGCTGCCCAGGTTGGAGCTGGGAGCCCGACGGCCCTGCCCACCCAGCTGGGTTCACCACACTCGAAGCTGGGGGTTGTTTGGCAATTGCCTGTTCCGGTTTAGTCAGCTCTGCAGGGGCGCTAGCCTGGGGGCGTTTAATATTTCCTTTCATGGCTGTTGTGAGACGTTTTCCTAACCTGCCTGATTTCCCAGTGCTGTGGCCTTATTCCTGTAAATAAAGAGAGCTTTTCCAGCGAGCTGCTGGCCGCTGAGTCACCCGCTGCACAGCGCCCGGCGAGCCATGGGGGTCGCACCCACGGGGCGTGTGTGTTAGTGCCCCAGGAGCCCTCCACCGCCCGGGCATCGCGCTGCAATGAAAGGCAGCTGAACACAAACTCCTGACAGCTGCGAGTTCAATCGGAGAGCACGCGGGGGCTTCATTTGCCTCAGCACTCGCGTCTCTGCCCTCGGCTCCTGTCTGGCCAGCGTGCAGGGAGCCTGTGCTCCGCGGGGCTCTGCGTGTGGTGGGCCCCGCCGCCGCAGTCACTGCAACGTGCACTAAAGCTAGGCAGGTGCACGCTGCAGTGGCTCTGGGGGTGTCCCAGCCCAGCCCTCCCTGCTGCGGACGCTCAGCGCTGTGAGACTCCCCTCTAGTAGTTAGATCGCCCTGGTCCAGCAGGCAGTGGTGGTGTTTGGAAAAGCCGCCACCCCGCCCGGCTGCTGTGGGGAGCCCCAGACCATCCACCTGCCCTGGATAGGGGGCTGGAGTGCCCAAGGGCAGCCTGCGGCCCATGTCCCCACCCCCCCGAGGCGCACCACCGAGGGCAGGTGGGGCATTACTCTGGCCTCTCCGGTCCCCAGGCCTTGTCAGTGCCTGGCAGCCACGCTCAGGACGGGTCACACACCTGAGCACAAGTTGCTGTGACCCTGAAACCAGGCACATGTAACTGCCCCAGGAGCTGGGCTTTGGGCGAGCTCCCCGCCACTGCTAGAGCGACAACGCTCTGGGTGAGGCCTCTGCCAACACCTCGCCCCGCAGCCGTTCCCCACCCTGGGGCTGTGCGGCTAATCCCCGCTGTGCAGCGCCACGGCTCCAGGTCAGGCCGAGAGGCAAGTTCCCCTCGGCATTCATAGAATCATAGAATATCAGGGTTTGAAGGGACCTCAGGAGGTCATCTAGTCCAACCCCCAAGCAGGACCAATCCCCAATTTTTGCCCCAATCTCTAAATGGCCCCCTCAAGGATTGAGCTCACAACCCTGGGTTTAGCAGGCCAATGCTCAAACCACTGAGCTATCCCTCCCAACCCCTGGGGGCTGAGCAATGGATGTGTCTGGGGCAGAGGGCCTGGACCCTGCCATCAGGGCAGGCCACTGCAGGGGGAGAGGGAATGGAGCTGGGGCTCTAGGGTTATGTCTACACAGCATTTTGGAGCACACCGCCCAGCCCAGGTCAATAGACTCGGGCTAGCGCTCTAAACAGCTGTGGACAGCGCCTGGGATGGTGTGGCTTGGGGTGGGGGGGGAGAGGAGGCCAAGAGGCTGAGCTGCAACCCGAGCCGCACCGTCAAAGCACTGGGGGCTCGCTCCTGTGCAGGGCAGACGAGGCCCCGGTGTGGCCACCACCTGTGTGTGCAGGTCTATGGAGCATGGCTCGGCCGGCTCCCCAGGTACAGTGCAGGGAGCCTGGTTCAGAGCACCGTTGCTGGGGCCCCGCTGGCTGTACCTCCCCGACGCCCTGGGCTGTGTGATCAGACGCTCAGTGGTTTGAGCATTGGCCTGCTAAACTCAGGGTTGTGAGTTCAGTCCTTGAGGGAGCCACTTAGGGATCTAGGGCAAAAATCTGTCTGGGGATTGGTCCTGCTTTGAGCCGGGGGTTGGACTAGATGATCTCCTGAGGTCCCTTCCACCCCTGATAGTCTATGACTAGGAGGGTGGTGAAGCACTGAAATGGGTTACTTAGGGAGGTGGTGGAATCTCCTTCCTTAGAAGTTTTTCAGGCCCGGCTTGACAAAGCCCTGGCTGGGATGATTTAGTTGGGGATTGGTCCTGCTTTGAGCAGATGGTTAGACTAGATACCTCCTGAGGTCCCTTCCAACCCTGATATTCTATGACCTGGAGCCAGGGGACCTGCAGCCACAGCCAGGCCTCTGCACATCTATCCTGCTGCTGGGAGAGTCGCACGCATGGTCCCAAGCCCGGCAGCGTCTCCAGGGACCCAACTACCCGCCGCTGCCTGGGGAAATCCACGCACTGCCGTACACATCACCTCAGGGTCACCAGGTCCTGCAGAGTCAGGCAGGCTCCATGCGGGGCCAGCCCAGCCACCCTGGGAGTGACAGCCTCTGCCTTTGCCATATGCGTGCAGTGGGCGGGCGGAGAGCCAGGGCTGGCGGGGTTATCGGCGCTCCTGACAGGCTTCCGGCTGGACTGTGACCAGGGCACAGGCTCTCAGCAGGGCACTCAATCATCAGCCTTTGTGCCCTGTGCGCGATTCGGGCCCTTTCCCTCTAGGCCACAAACATCTCCCCGCACCTGGGGCGGGCGGGTCTGGGGATGCTGAGTTTAGCGTCTGCAGGCCAGGCAGGAAAACACGTCACCTTCATTCAGGAGCCAGCACTCCTCCTGGGACTGCAGGGCTGGTCCAGAGCTAGCGCCCGTGGATTCTGCTGCCAGGTGTTGGCAGTGCCCCTTTGAAGACAACACAGCTGGGCAGGGAATTTTGTGCTGGTTTTGTTGTGTCCCTCCCCTCTCCCCCCCCCGCCCCCGAGAGAAAATAGTGGGGAGTCTGGTGGGCATTTACTGATGGGCTGAGGAGTGCAGTCCAGCTGGCAGGGCTGGCTTAGCCATGCCCAGATGGGTGAGTTCTGCCCTGGCATGGCGGGGAAATGCCACCCATCCATCCCCAGCGCCAGTCAGACACGTCTATTGATGGGAGCGCACTGGGGTGCGAACACCAACATGGCAGCGTGGTACGCTCACCTGCACGCAAAGGCCCAACCGGCGTCTTTCTGAGTGGTAAAGCCCCAGTGCAGAAGGTGGCTGGCAGATCAGGTGGGTGGCATCCAGGCCGCTGGCTGCTGTGCTGGGCACAAAGCACCCATGAGCGGGGGGAGGGGGGTGAGAAAAGAGGGAGTTCTCCTAGTTTGCCCATTAGATCACCTCTCCCTTGCTATTCCTGATGGACTGCGAGTGGCTGGGGGATTGTTACGCTGACTGCTCCAAACACGCTGGACTTCATTAACTCCCATATCAGTAACTGCCCAAGACAGTGCACAGGCCACAGCCCGAGCCAGGCAGGAATGGCCCTGGCACCCGGACACTCCTCCAGGAAAAAACCAAACTGTTCCGAAAACACAAACCAGACTTTACCCGGCAGTGAAGAGGCAGAACCAGCCCCAGCTGGGTTCTTTGCAGGGCACCTTTAAAACCACCCGCTGGCCACAATAAACATAGTCTAGTGCCTCCCGCCATGCCGGCACCCACCTGCCATCGTAACCCCAAATCCTAACCCGCCCGGCTCTGCCCAGCTCCCCACCAAGGCCACCCGGGGGGGGGGGGGCAAGTGGGGCAATTTGCCCCAGGCCCCACAGGGGCCCCCACGAGAATGTTGGAGGCTCTCCCCCGCCTCCGCCTTCGCCATCCCCCGGCGCTTCAGTGCGCCACGTCCAGGAGCGGCCCTGGACAGTGCTACAGCGGCGAGGCTTGGGTGGGGCCTGAGGTCCTCCCGCTCGGAGCCACGTGGTAAGGGGGTGGGGCTCGTGAGCTCCGGCGGGCTGAGCCGCAGGAACTCCTGGACGCGGCTCGCTGAGGCTCTGGTAGAGGGGGTAAACGGCATGGTAAGCCCCTCTGAGCCGGGCAACCCGCGACCCCCAGCTCCGAGCCCAGCCCCTCTGAGCCGGGCACCCCCTGACCCCCAGCTCTGAGCCCAGCCCCTCTGAGCCGGGCACCCCCCGACCCCCAGCTCCGAGCCCAGCCCCTCTGAGCCAGGCAACCCC